AGATGTGTATAAGATAGGAAACGAATACCATGTATAGACTTCAGAAACACTTATTGGAGCAAACTAATATTTCGACCTATCCTCAGGTCTTTATCAAGGTCTTTTATTATCGTACCGAAACATACGTGGAACTATGTAAACGCGCTTGTAAAGGAAATAGCGCCCTCAATATTGTATATTTGCATAATATAAGCATGATATGTAGAGGTGTACTATAAAACGAAATTAGTTTAGACACAGTAACACTTCAAGTCAATACATTATAACAACTTACTGTTTAATGTCTGGATATTAACCGAGTTATAATTTTTTCGCGCTGTCATGGAAAAAGTAAGTCAATATCTGGATACATATATCATTTAGATACTGTACTTTAAATTAAATAATATACATACAAAGTTTGTTACTGATTTATGGGCGTCCACGTAGGAAAGTATATATTCATTCTGTTTTTCATTTAATTAGCTTACGGTAACATGTTATATTAAGTACCGTATTTCGAATAGGCATATATATGATCAATACATGGCATAAACAAAATTTCAAGATTCACCAGAATATACCTTTATGGTTGTAGCTAAGAAATAAAAATCGTATTGACTATCTTACTCCGTTTCGCCCTTTACTGGAATAATGTCATACTATCTGGGCTCCATCATTACCAGAACAACAAGGTAACTCGTTGAAGAACCACCAGATTCGTCTTTCTATTGACTTCAGTCAAGTCGGAGGCTACATCTGGCGTAAAAATCTAAATCGGAAAAGCTTGAAAAGAAAAGAAAGAGTGCCTACCTATATGCTCAAAGTTATGTAACTCTGTCATGATAAATACATTTAGAGAATTGCAAATGAAAAAAAAAAACACATCCTCTAAACAGCAGTACAGTAGATCAGGCAGAAGTACAGAATTTATAATTGATAAAGAAAAAGCAGTCACGGAAAAATCTGTCTAGTGCGATTCAGTTATATAACGAAGAATTTGTTAGATTGGTATGTCTTGAATAAAACTCGCTTTGTGTACAAAACAGTATTTTCTAATATTAAAGAAATCAATATAATCCACGAGGAAAAAGCGGGTTTTAGGAAGGGGTACAGAGAATTACATAATATTTCCATTCTAAACACTATCATTTCAATATATTTAACTATAAAAAAGAAGAAAAATATTTTTTTTGTTTCATTGATTCTGTTAATCACAATTTTCCTTTTATATGAATTAAAACAAATAGGAGTCAGTGGTAGAATGTACGAAACTTTATATCAAGTTATCTGCCCCGTCGTCAAAATTGTTAACAAACTAAGTTATTCTTTTAAATGCTCAGTTAGAGTCCATCACTTTTTCCATATATTTATTAATGATATTAGTATATCCGTTAATTCAAAATAAATATAATGTACAGTTTAGTGACTGTTACATTAATCATCTCTTACATGCAGACGCTCTCTTTATTGTAAGAGACACGGTAAAGTGATTGCAACAACATTTTGCCGTAATTACATACTATTGTGATACCTGGTTGTATTTAAGAAAGGTGCAAAATTTAGAAAATATACAACAAAAATGTTATATAAAGGCAATTAAATTGGTACAGTTACAACGTTTATCTTTAAAGGGTATATTTTTAATTCAAACGGAACTTTTGATAAAACAATCCTAAATAACAGTCAAAAATCAAACAAAGCTTTACTTTCCTTTAAAACTTTAGTAAACCACAATCTCTCTTAATATTTACCTGCTAATTTTTGGAATCATATATGATGTTAAACTTAAGTATGTTAATTCTGGGAAATGCTTTATAATCTTAAAATTTAAACTGTCCATACAAAATTGTGTAGATTTATTTTAGGTATTGGTCGGAATTCCTCGAATGTTAGGGCAACACGCTGACCTAGGCAGACTACCTCTACGCATCAAATGGTATAGTTAACGTTACTCGTCTTTAGTCTAGGACCTGACTAAGATTTGTAAGCACTTAATTACCTTGTGAGAGAATATCTCAGCTGATACATACGCTAATTTTAACCCAAGGAACAACATGGGATATGTGCCAATATCTGTATCTGGAACGAACATCCCGAAAATGACCACACCTTTTTAAAATGACCTCGCCCCTTTTTCGTTGGAAGTGCACTTTAAACATTAGGCTATACATTATGAACATATTCTAAAAAAATGTTTTTTTTTTCTTTTATAAATGAAAACATGAAATGAGGGGATCAAATTTCAGAAATCTCATAGTAATCACACAAGTGTCATTCATATGGAAATTAGCTTATATATGCAAAATAAGGGTCATGCCCCTTTTTTTGATTGGAAGCACTATTTTTTAACAGTAAGCTAGACAACTTGAACATCTTGTAAACAAGGGTTTTTCTCTTATAAATGAAGATATGTGATGAGGGGATGAAATTTTAGAAATTACACCATGGTCACATGTCCTGTTCATATAAAAATTAGCTTAAATATGCCAACAAAAAATAGGGCAATACAATCTGAACATTTTGCAAATAAGAAGGGCTTTTTTATATATATAAATGAACACGTATGATAAGATGAAATCTCAAAATTCACACCGTGGTCACATGAGTCACGCCCCTTTTTATTTGAAGTGTTAACTTAAACAATAAGCTAGACAATCTGAATGGGATTTGTGTGAATAAAGTGATATTTCTGAAATGGGATCCCCTCTTCAATTGTATTTATTTACAAACAAAAAAACTCTAGTTTGCAATGTTTTCAGATTATCTCGCCTACTGTTTAAAGTAACCATTCAAATAAAAAGGGGCATGGCGCCATCATAATGAAAACTATTCCCCTATTTTCGGCAAGATCTCATTCAGGTAAATTTGTCCCACATTTTATGCATAAACGCACTAACCGCAGAAAACTCGAAATTCGTAGCTGCTATTGGCCTTAAGCGCGTGACGTCATTCATAGACAAGGTAAAAACAGTTCTGAATACAAAATTTTGAAGAAAAAATAATCAATGGTTATTTAAGCAACTAGCATGGGGCTTACATGGCAGGAAAGCTTAATTTATAAACTACAATTGACCGTTCACTCCGAAGTTTAGCGACCTGACGTTCCAAAGTTATGGTTAAAAGAAGCTCTAATTTTTTACCTTTTTTCTATGCAAAAGCATAAGAGGTAGTCAATTTTGAAAGAAAAACGATCACTCAATTTTGCATTAATTGTAAGTATATATAGATGATTATAAATTTAAAACATCTAGTTTTATAATCCGATCACCCCAGATTTTCAAATGAAACCATTAAAATTATATAGTCGATTTTGTGAGAAAATGGAGTGTGACTACGGTGTGTTTCTAAAATTGTATCCCGCTTATCATTTGAAGTGTTTATAAAAGACAAATCTTGGCAATATTTGCCCACAGTTTAGTACTTCAAATAAAAAAGGAGCTTAACCTATAATTCTCCTTTTTTTTTGTGCATATTTAAGCTAATTTGCATATGAGCAGGATACCCGACCAGAGTGTGATTTTTGCAATTTTATCCTCCCATCGTGTGCATTCATTTATATTAAAAACAACCCTTGTTTGCAATATATTCAGATGGAATAGCTACGGTTTAAAGCAGTGATTCCCAAACGTTTTGCGTTCGCGGAACCCTCTGGACATGCCACAATCTTCACGCACCTTCATGTCCAAATAGTACTCCTAGCCACCTTAGCCCTACCATAGTTGTGGCTGAGGTACAATTTCTTTTATGCTTATGCCATTCTAGATGACCGGAAATGGCAATGTCGCACTCAAAATTTGAAGGTAATATTCTTTTATCGCCACCCCCATTTAATTTTTAATGTTTACAATTTAGGGCGAGTCATGATATTCCTCCAATAAGATTATTGATGATTCTCGAAATTACGACATCTTGGATCTTGGAAATCGACATAGACAGGAGGGGAGGGGTACATGTCAGACAGTAAATTTTACAGATAGGGGATTTACTCTACTTTTAATTTTGTCTAATTTAGTGCTCCGTTCTGATTTTTAAATTTTATTCAATATCCAGGTATCCAATGCAAAAAAAACTAGAAACAAAATGTACATTGCCTGAAGATTGCCACTATTAAGTGGCTCTCCTATACCAAACGTATTTACATAGAGAACATAAAAACTAATACAAAAGATTCTATCAGATAACTAATAAAATATTGGAATTAAAATATAATGCCGATTAAAACAATTTACAGTGAAGGAAGTCATGCCTATCAAGGTATTTTATTATTGTCAAGGCATGATCAACACTATTGTAAGACAAGAAAAAATAATGGAATTATTAAAATGTTGTTCTAATAATCTAGCGGAACCCCACAATTTGTGCGGACCCCACATTCTCCACGGACCCCTGCCGACCCCTTTGACTTGGTTTACCCCCAATTATTTTTCGCGGACCCCAGGGTTGGGATTCACTGGTTTAAAGTTTTACTTCAAACACCCTTCTTCTTATATATTCATTAAATTAAGAAAACCCCTGTTTGCAATACGTTTAGTTTGTCTAGCCTACCGTTAATATAGCACTTCCTAAAAAAGGGGCTTCTCCCCTATTTTGCATATTATTTAAGCTAATTTCCATTTGAACGAGACTTGTGATTAAGTTGAGATTTCTGAAATAGTATCCCCTCATCATAGTGTTCTTTAAGAAAAAAAAAACTTTTTTGCAATATGACATTGTCTAGCCTAATGTAGAGCTTCCAATGAAAAAGGGGTGTTTCCATTTAAACATAGGTGTGGCCATTTTAAGGCTGTTTATCCCGGATACATATTTTGGCACACATCCCATGTTGTTCCCAGGGTTCATATTAGTCTATGTCAGTTGAGATATACTCTCATAAATTAATATAAGTGCATACAAATCTTAGTCAGGACCTCTACTCTTCTGGTTACACATTGTTTCAGTTGGTCCAAATAGATATTTGTGTAATTGTTTTGAATTTCAATTAATAAAGAAACGAAGTGTGCTGGGCAATGAAATTTAACAATTCATTTTGTTCCTATGGATTTGGTTGACATGATCAATATATTTATAATAAATATAATTTTCTTAATGATCGTGGGTTGAGAGTTACTATCATTGACAAATAAAAATTATTATGAAATAATGAGATCACAATATAAGTTTAAATATTATCGTTTATTTAAACATAGTTTAGACCATCAAATTTTGTCATGTTTCCACTTAAATCAGTAAAGGGCGCTATCTATGCCATTTTGTAATGTTTAGAACAATTGAGTTTTCAATTAAAATAATTCTCAAATGGAAGTGTAGAAACTGCCGAAACATATTTGTTTCATAGAGCCTAGCTATGGTAGGGCAAATTATAATCCAGCGTTACGCCTAACATGAGCATCATGTAGTGCCGTGATTTTTTTACGTATTTAAAGGGTATTGTATACACTTTGAAAAGCGTAAGAAAAACGGGAAAAGAAAATGATTGAAAAATTCCACCACTGTACGTCAAACACAATCCATTTTATTCTCCAAAGGTAAAATTCCTGATTTTGCTGCTTCTTTTTGTGGTGTGTTACAGTAGTTGTCCGACCACCTGGTACACCACTCCTGGAAACCGATGCATCAAGGTAATCGAAGACATGGTGAGTCTGAATAAATTTGCAGACAGTAAGCTGTGCGAGAAGTACACAATTGACACAAATGTTGCATCATATATCTCTGTGACATCACCAAATGACATGGCAATATTATATAATTTTGTGCCTTGGATACAATCTGTCTACCTGGATTGGAACTATGTCGGATCGACCTACTATTACAGCAATGGAAGTATGATCGAAATTGATGAATACTCTTTAAGATCACGCTTTCTCATCAAACCGACGCATCAGCTGTACTGAGGTGGACCTGCGTTACCAAGAATTGTATGCAGACTGCACCGAAAGAAAAGTTGGATACGTTTGTGAAATAAAATTATAAAATGCTTAACTTTGACTATACAGTTCGCTAGTAATGGAATTTGTTTTTTGACATTTTTTGGGAAAAAAAGGACAGGCATGGCACTAGGCGTATCAATGCTCTTCTCAATCCGAACATGATTGATGTTGAGTGAAAATATAAGGATGTGGCTACTCCCAGGGTTAAAACGATTTTAACGATGTTCAGCATATATTAAGTTTTGTGAAGATTCCATTGTACCTACAAAAAATGTTAAAACTTATGCAAATAACAAACCAAGTTAAGATTATTAATGGAAGATAAATACTCAAAATTTAAGCAGGGCGAATCTGAAGCTAGTAAACGCCTTCAGCGGGAAGTGAAACATGTAATTTTGGGAGATGAACCTTATTCCGCCAAACACATAGAAGGAAATTTTGAGTCTGGTGATATTCAAAGTGTTTGGAAAAGAATGATTAAGCTGAAAAATTTAAAATTGCATCGAATGTTGAAGATATTAGTATTACGGCTAACAATCTAAATTCTTTTTTTGTTAGGTACGATGATTGGGATTTTTCGGAGATTAGCAACATTCAAAAGTAAAAACTCATAGGTTCAGTAAGAGAAGAAAATAATATTTTAATTAACTTAAATGATGTGGAGAAAACACTTAGGAATGTTGTGTCCAAAAAAAGCCGCAGGGCCTGATCTCATTTCAGACATGTTACTTTCAATTAAAGCATACTTTTCATTTATTATTTCAATGGTCAGTTGGTTTGTGTCGTGTACCCAAACTTTGGAAGTCGGCCATTATCACACCAGTACCAAAACACGATAAAGCTACCATCTGTAATGACTTTAGACCTGTGGCATTAACTGCAATTCCAATAAAATACTTAGAAAAATTTATGAAAAATTCATTAATTTGTGAAACGAAGGGTATGATTGATAGCCATCAATTTGCTTACCGGGAAAAGGGGGAAGTAGTTTATGCAGTTATGACTCTCACGCAAAAGTTGTATGCTCATCTTGAATATCCGAATAACTATGCTAGAATATTGTTTTTAGATTTCTCGGTAGCGTTTAATACGATTCAGCCCTATTTACTTACTGAGAAGTTATAATGTTGATTATTATTACTCTCATGTATAATTGTCTATCCATTGTATACACTACAGTACACCATGGTATTTCCTCTTCATAGATATATTTACAGTGATATTTTTATCCTGTTACCAGGACAACTGTTCCTGTTACTATCTAACCACACATACCTAAGTTTAGATATTAGTAATGGTTATAATGTTACAGCAATCATCATCTTGTATTTTAAGGTGTAACTTCACTTGCTACCTTGCTATGTTTTATTAAACAGGTCTATACTTTTTGACTCAAAAAATACAGTATGTTAAAAGCAATTCAACGTTTTCCTAGCCTTATTTATCTTCAAGAAGATGGACGCAACAATTCAATATAGGAATAAACGCACGACTTAACCTTTGGATATCTGACTTCCTATATGAAAGAACACAGATTGTTAAATTTTAAGGGTAGTGTACTCTCACCAAATAAAGGCCCCCTCTGTTTTAGAGACCACTATAATGGTTTTGGAAGACACAACCGAACAATTTCTTTCAGTTGTTAGTTGTGGAACTTACCTACTCGTAGCAGCTCTGAACTCGTGGCGCTAATTTTGAACATGTTCAAAATTATCGCCACGAGTAGATAACTCGTAGTAAACTCGAAGAACTCGTAGGTAGCTCGTAGAGTACTCGGGGTACTCCTACCTAGCTCGTACACTACTCTGGATACTCGTCGGTGGTTTTGTCATCTACGAGTTTGAGGCGAGCACCCCGAAACGAGTACGAGTAAATACGAGCGCACCGAGTTGGCTCGTATCTAATTCGGTACAAACTTGTTACGCTCTTAATAATCTCGTAGTTAACTCGGTGCTCTGCTCGGCATTTCGTACATAACTCGTAACCAACTCCATAAAGTCGTGCCTCACTCGAAGCTAACACGTAATAAGCTCGTATAGGTCCTTTCCAAAGATCACGAGTTTTTAACTCGTAGAAATGTTGCGACTCTTAGGTGAAATAAAACTAGGTGGGAGAGGGGCTACGTCGAGCAGCCATGGGGAACATTGTTTAAATATTGATCGGAATATTAATTATTTCATCATCAGCAAATTATGATCTTTAATATTCGAGCAACGCACACGCGTTTCTAAATTATGTGTAGGGCGCCCCCTATTTCGTGTCAGTACTTTTAGAGTTCCATTGCCTGCACACCTTGCAGCAAACAAAATTAGGGCAGTCGGACATCTTGCAGTTTTATACTAACATCTCCCTACTTGTAGCGTCTATTGATGTTTGACTTTTAATTTCTTCATTTAAAATTTTTTAGAATTTATAAAAATATTTTAACTTTAAAGTTTATACAGTATAATTATTACAGTACAGTATTTCCTTTTCATAATAAGTCTAATTTAACACAGCACACCACCCTTCATATAAAGGCTTGGTAGGCATAATTAATTAGCTCACAACTATCAGTGAAAACGGAAAGTAAGTCTATGTTCTGGTCAACAGTGTTAGTACATTGGAATGTACAAGCAAAGGGAGTGACCAATCTAATTGGTAGAAAAACCCAACACACTAAGGTTACATGTATTTCAGTTAATAGTAGGCCTAGTTTTCATTCTGTCAAAGAGAAAACATTATTTTTATACTCTCTCCGAAACAAGTGTTTTTATACTTTCAACTTTGTATTTTTCACTTGATTACTCGATTTAATAAATTACAGTTGTACACACAATTGGCTGTTGAGTCTTGTGTCGTCTATACACATTAACACCCAAATACTTATTGTTTGAAGGTTTGAATGGAGGAGTAATAGCATATGTTGATGTTTGCGGTACACACGTAGGTAGTTCTCAAAAGAACTGAGTAGTTGAGAAAGTCTCGACGTTTCGACTCGAGTTGCTTTAATCGTCTTTAGGAAAATAATATCTTTCAGAATTACCTACGTGGTGTACCGCAACATCAACA